CCCCCCCCCCCTCCTCCACCGCGTTCTCTTCCGCGCCTCCCCCGCACCTCTTGGTGGTCTCCGCTCCCCCCTCCCCCGTTTTACCGCGCCGCGGTTCCGTGCTCCGCCGTGCCGCGTGTCCCCCGCGCACCCTCCGCTCTGGCCTTGCCCCCGGTGCCCGGCTCCCCGCCGGGAGCCTGCGGGGGCTGCGAGCCCCGGGATGCTCCCGAGGCTGCCCGCGCGCCCCGCACCGCCCGCTTTCCGGCCCTCGCCCCACTCCCGGGGACCCCTTTCTGCCTGTCGGGGGTTCTCCGGGACGGGGCGGCCTGCGGGGCTCCCGGCAGGTGAACCCCCGGCCTTGCGCGGGGGCAGGATGGGCGCTGGAGGAGGCTGCGGGATTTTCCCGCAGGATTTGACAAGCGGGGCGGGAAGCGAAAAATAAATGTGCTATTAAAAACCAGAAAACCTGACAAGTCGGTCTTGCAATTACCGGAGACTTAGAGCAGCCGGGCAGCCCTCCCAGTCGTTACCGGTAATGAGGAGGGCTGTCTGGCTGCTGTAACTCTTGCCGTGTCTGCAGCTGCTGTGATTTGATAACGTACAACCGGGGTTACCGGTGGGTGGCCCGGGGGTTTAATTAACGTGCCGCGGTCACTGCTTTGGGTACCGCTCTGCTCGGCCGGGTCTGGCCTCTGGAGAGCCAGGGCACGGGCTGCGGGGTTCAGCACCCCCCGCTGCTGCTGATACACAACACAACTGTTAAAATGGGGTCAGCTGAAGAACTGCTCAGGGTAAACTGTTTTATCTGGCTTTTCTCAGTATTGATAATTTTTATCTAGATCAAAAGAATGAGTTACTTTAAATAACAAAAAAAAAGTAAGATAAGGTGTGAATTCTTTAAGGAAAAAATAGTGTATGTATTATAGTGTTTGTGCTAATATATTTGAAAAATGTTTAATGCATGTAATTACTTGATAGTAAGCTGCTAAAGGTATAGGAATTTAAAGCTGTGTCCTGTCTGCTTTACTGATTTTTATTTCATATGAAGTGAAGCAATGAGAACACATTTCTGCAAATATTCAAATACGTGCATATTTAACAACACTGTTGTGTCAACTTTCATACACTAGTTTGTTACATGTGTACTTTTCTGTATGCAGGAGCTTTGTATGTCACTCTTGTTGTTAAGAAAGCTCCTTATAATTTTCTTTTCCTGTTTAGGATGGGGAAGTCAGAGTTCCAAAGTACATATACATCATAGCACATGGCTTCATTTTCCTGGCCACAATTTACGCTGGATACTGACTTTTATCCTCTTGTTTGTGCTGGTGTGTGAAATTGCAGAGGGCATAGTGTCTGATGGGTAAGTGTATGTCTACCTTCTGGTAGCACTGAGCATTTTGAAGGTTTCAGAGAACGTATTTTCTCCCTAAATTCTCATCTAGACCATGTTCCTTGTGCTTATAAACATGTAATCAGTATTCTTGGTGATTAACCTACCGACCTTGTATCAGAAATTCCACAGACCTTGCCAAGTTACACGCACAACTGACCTTAATCATTTTTAGTTCAGCTCAATGACACTATCTTTCCAAAGAGTAATCATGAATAAATCCTAATAATTCAAGCAGATGGTGACATTTTCGTGATACGTTTTATGTCCAAGACCCAGTCCTACAGTCCTTACTTAGGCAGAACTCCCATGTGCACGGTAGGTCATCCCATTCCCCAACAAACTGACTTGTGTTCATCTTAATAAGAGGAGTGGATCTATTGGGCCTCATCTCACACCCCGTCGAGGTTCTTCTGGTGTTTTTGCAGAACACCTGCTGTTACCATGAGCAGAGCAGCTCACATTATATGGGCTTATTCCAAGTGAAACAAGTGATACAGGAGAGTGATTTATCATGAAAAAAGCTGATGTCATATAACAATGACTATGATCATCTTCCTCTGAAGAAAGGTCTGATTTTCAGAACAATTATCAATTTGCAACTCAAGGATTATAAAGCTGAAGCTCCTTGTTAAACAGAACAAAACATCTCTGTTTAGCCATCTATATAACAACTATCCACCAACCAGAGTGAAAGGCAATGCAGTATTCTGCTGTAGAAGCTGATATCATTATTATTATAACTTCCCTTAAACATATATAAATAGGATGTTTTTCAGTGCCAGGTTTTTTTTGAAAGGATTTTTTCTTGTGCTTATTCAGAGTTACCAGGGTGTGGGATGCTCAGAGCAAAATCTCCTGCTTTGAGTTTTCTGTTTTATTTTGCTCTTTAGTAATCCCTCTCATTATATCTATTTGCTGTTTAACTTGACTCAGAATGCTGCTGTTAAGTAATAAGTGTCACCTGATGAGAATCAAAGCTTCTAGCTGTACTGGGGGAGTGCCAGCCCACAGTCGTGCCTCCAGAGCACTCAGCAGGCTAGTGAGTGCTCTAGTGAATAAAAGCAGATTTTGAGACTCATCAGCTTTCTAAGACCAAATAGGATCATACTGGTAAGTCTTTTTGACAGCAATTGGCTGTTAAAGGCTTTGGCACTTCAGCAGTAGATGCAGCCTATTGGAGATAATGGTTATGTAGGGGAATTCTAGTAATTTCTGTCTGTAATAAATTTTAAAATAATCTTCCACTCCTGCAGTGATAGCTACTGAAGCTTAGGCTGTCTGAACAAATCTGTTCCTATTGCTTGTTTTTCCTTGCTGAGAATTCAGCCCCAATGTCCCCAAATCACTGGCATGACTAGGAATTCAGAGACTGGAGATTCTTTTCTCGTTTTGCTGCATACACATACAACTCATTGTTAACCAGAGGAGTTAAGTATTTATGCCAGACTCCACCACAATGTCCATGTGAGGGAGGGCTTTCCTTTCCTAGAACAGATGCAGAAAGGGGTCCTCTTGAGCTTCTGTGGATCCGCTAGACATTTGGGATGTTCTGCTCTCACAGACATGACATCCTGTGATGATCTTCAGCTTCCTGACAGCACAGCCCCTATTGTCTCTCTGAACTACATAAAGGTAGCTTTTGCTGCAGAAAGAACAAATCCAGAGATGCTAATTTATTTTCTATGAGGCTCAGAGGATAAGGTGTGAATTTCCGTGAGTGTTTGTGTCCTGAAGGCTTCTTGGTCCCTCTTCTCCTGGAGCTGGTTGAGAGACAGAGGAAATTGTACCTCTGGACAGCACAGGACTCACCATTACTTTTGTGAAAGAAAGAAAAGGGGAGGAGGAGAAGATGATGGCAGGTAGGAGGAAAGAGGGAGGGAAACGTGATTTTACCCAACTCTGCATAAACCAACAACGTTGCCCAACAATTCCCATATTCCCAAAAGACGGTAGTTGGCAGGACCCCTCTGCTGCTCCCTGAAGCAAAGTGTCAGGAGAGTTTTGCTTTATCGGACAAAACTTAAGGGTATATGATTCTGTTGTAGGTTCTGTTTGTTGGCTTGTGGTTACTGAAAACAGAGCTCAGTGTAAGTAATTCCCATGCTGTGATGCTGTTCCTGGAAAAAGAAAATGAAATGCTTCCACAAAACGTTTCTGTAGAAAATCTTAAGCTGTGGTTCAGTTGGCCTTATCTCCATATTTTGATGGACAGCTCCCAAACTAGTTTAGCCTAAATTAACTTTTCTCATTTTGGAGCTGAGCTGCTTATCCTAATTTAAACAATGTTCCAATTGATTTCAGTAGGAAATAGGAGTACATGCATTTCATTTTCAGGACGGGAGGAATCTGAAATACAACTGTGTGATTTAGGAGCATAAATCCAATTGAAAATTGGAGAACTTACATCCATAACTCATCCTAGATAGTCCTGTGTCAGTGCTGGGTACAGGGTACAATTCATAAATTAAAAAGGAAACATTTAAATAGCTAAGAGAGCTTGATTTTAATATATGTTCTCTTTTTTCTTTTTAAGGGTTTCAGAGTCACGGCATTTACACCTGTACATGCCAGCTGGGATGGCATTCTTGGCGGCCATCACATCGGTTGTCTATTACCATAATATTGAAACATCCAATTTCCCGAAGCTGTTAATTGGTACGTCTCACTACTTACAAGACTTGAAAATGTGATAGTGGTGCTGCATCTGTTCATTCTGTGACAGGCCATTGCAGTCTCGGTGCTCACTTGTACAGTGGATAAGGCTACGCCTGTATTCTGGACTGCTGGTTGCTATTACCAGACTCAGTTCTGAGTTTTCCTGGAACAATTCATAGTTTTCAATGTTTTTAACTTGTAATAGTATTCTGTATGGTGTTCTCAGGGATCCAGTGGGCCAAAAGCTTCTCTAGGAAAAACTGGATTTGTGGGAAAAGTAGCACATCAAATTCTTAACTCGGAAAGCTATCTGAATTCCCCTGCTTGTCAGCACGTTGCATTTAAGTATGATATAACACTGAAACCATCTTCATGGGGTCTATTGAAATACGCAGGGAGTCAAGGGAAATGAATGATTTCACTGACTTTCACTGTGACCCTCGATATATTACTTTGTCTGCTTGTGCTTGCTTTCTGTTCCTAAAACTCCCTTTGTAAACTGCTTTAAGACCTTTTGAATGGAAAATGCTATGTATAAGTATATATTTTCTGCAGGACTGTAAATAAGCTGTAACTAGCTATAGAAAATCCATTACTCCTGACAATCATGCAGCTGGTGACGTGTTCTCTACAGTTTAAGTAGACTGTGGATGTCTACGTGTTTAGTCATCCTGTTAGCTGTTATTTCTTTGGTGGTCCTGGCTCATCAAGTTTTGTTTGAGCTGGTTTTCTGTATTAATGGATCCTGCTAAGGTTTGTCTTGTGTCATTGTAGCTCTGTGTATCAAAGTTCTGTTCTAGTTTTTGTCAGGTGGTTAAAAGTCAGTAACAACTGGGTTTGAGAAAGCTTTTAAATACTAAAAATTATTTTGAAGTGCATGTTGTGGTAAGCAAGCATCCTCTTCTGCAGAAGGAGCCTGCAATTCCTTGGGGGGGTGGGGGAAATCATTCCTCTTCAAAAACTTCAGATTTCTCTCCAGGTTTAGCAACATTTATGTCTTGTCATTTGGGACTGCTTTTCTTCTTGTACCTTTCATTTAAGTAGGATCTTTTTTTGTCTTTTATAACCAGGTGGGGCCATTTAGTTCCTTTTTTGACAAGTCAACACAGTCTATTTAATCCCTTCTCACAGGACTAGACTCTGTGTGTCAGGAAAGCATTGCTAGCCTGTTACATTCACCTATGAGAAACAAGCAGTGATTTTCTTGGCTCTTTTTTTGTTATTTCAGATAGATAATGCAATGTTTAATAATTTAGTGTCAGTACCGCATTCTCACTGTTAAGTCATTGAGAAAGGGTAGCACAAATGTACAGCTGTTAGTTGATTACCCATTTTTGTATAATCCTTTCTCTGTAGAGATTTAGATTTCTCTTTTATGATAATTTTGTTCAGTATTTAGAGCGCTGGTGCTGAATAAGCTCTGGACAATATTTGAATAATAAACAGTTGCACCAATGAATAAAAACACTTACTTAAGTGTTATTGATACTAAAATTAATAATCATGAATTTTAATTTTGCAAGAATTTCCAGGGAATAGACTCCTTTGGAAAATCTAATCTTAATATCTGACTCTTAGGCAAAAAAATAAAATCAGATACCACAGTCTTTCCTGCTTAGTTGGTCTGATTTGAATTTTAATCCAAAGTCTTCACAAGCCGAGAGTCTTTGATTTTGATTTTATTTTTTGTCTTTGTTTTTCTTTTAACTGGTCCTGGGTTTGTCGGATAAGCTAAGAGAGACATTTCTGGAAGTCTCGATCCTTTATCTTGATGGCACAAATTTATTGTGATGTAACTGTGAGGACTGTCACTTTTCAGTGTTGATTGCAACTGCTCTGTATTGACAACTGGGACTAGGCGATGATAGCATTATGCAAATTAGCCCATTATGAGATAGTTAAATTATACCTTTACTCAGCTTTCAACCCACTAGGGTGCAGTGTGGCCATGAAGCAGCTTTCTTTCAAAGCCTGATACAAATGAGGTAAATGGCAACCATGAATGAAGGCTCAAGTTGGTGATAACCTTCTTGCTGAATGTATGAGAAAGGAAACTGAAAGAGAGTCTTCGTTAGTAAAATGTTGCAGAGGAGATCTAATATTACAGAGAGTAAAGTAAGTGGCCTGATGTGACATCCTCTGTTGCTTGAGCATCAGTGAAGTTCCACCTAACTGCAGGGCATCATCTCCCACAGCTGCAGGATCAGTTCCTACACTTACAAAGAGTTGGTAGCTGTATAAAGCAAAGGCTAACAAAACCTTATAAAAAAAATAATACTATATTCAGTGGGAAACCTCTCATTGATGCAGTGCAGAACACCCTTAAGGGTCTATTCGTTAATTCTGAACAGGATAAAATTTTCCAATCCTGTGAAACTTTGAGATATTTTCTTTTTTTTAAATCTTTTTCACCCTTCCTTAGAGGAACCAAGTCTGTTCATAGTTCTTTATAAAGAAGCAAGAGGCAGGTACCATAACAGGCCTGGGGATTAGCACATTCCCTTGGGGTATGCAAGACAAGGACGCAAGGTTCCTCTACTGATCCTGTCTTTCTGCTTTATGCTCAGGCTGTGGACTATTTTGAAATAGTTGTTCTTATCATCTCTTATCCAAAAAAGTTGACAAGGTTTGGAATATTTATTATCTGAAGCTAATGACTGAGTTCAGGATCCCAGCTGAGTGTCCAAACTATTGGAACGCTTTGATTTTGTCTGACTCTCTTTTTCTCTGTATGATTTTGACCTTTAATTATATTTCAATAAACATAGCTTTTCCAGTCCTTTTTACCAGGAGACTCTTGTAATAATGCTAATTTTGGTGCGCTTTGCACAGTGTTGCAGAATGGATGCCTAACAGTTGTACAGTTTAGCAGGACACATTTTAGAATAGTTTTCATACTGAACTGGAAAATTTGCTAGCTTTCTCAACATTCAAAATATGTAATAGAATGGTAGCATCTGAATTGCACTGCTTTTTAAGTTAGTATTTATTTGCTTGATAAATAAACCTCAGAAATTAAACAGTAGGTGAAAATTATGAAATAACAATAGGACTTTGAGTTGTTAATCTGAAAGGGAAAGTAGTGTGGAAACGTGAATTTTTTGATTTAAGAAAAATGTTGTTCTTTTTTTTTTTTAATACAATCATAGTTATAGGACTGCCTTACCATTCTTAACAGTAATCTAATTTTCTGATTTAAATTTCTTGTGCCTTGACATTGTAGCTAATTCCCTTGGAATTAGTTTATTGTTTAAAATGGAACTTCCTGTTATTGTGTAAATATAATGTTTATTGCTTAGTACATAGAATTTCTCTCCAAACAGACACCGCTTCAGATATTGGGCTTAATCCAATAAAGATATAGAACAGTTTGAGTTCCACATTGCTTTATTTTCAGCTGCCTGGCCCCAGGTGAGAATCTACACCCTGGTGTTGTGGGTTGAGCTAGCTTACACGGCCCAAAAGAAAGTGAGGTCCTTCAGGCTGCAGGCACCTAGAATGGATCTACAGCAGTGGAGGAAATGAAAGCATGCCTCAGTGGTCTGAGCACTACAGTTCAGGCCAGTGGAAGTTCTTGGTGATAATTTCTAGAAACTCTCAGCCAATATGCTCTCACCACCCAGATAATAAAAACACAGCTTAAAAATGAGCCATTACTATATTTTCCACAGAGCCTTATCTTGAGGGAGCTGTGAACATTTGCCTGATTAGATTATATACACTTGTAGTAAAAAATGAAAAGCTGAATGAATTCAAATGCTTCTAGGAGGTATGACAGTGGGAGGTCAGTTATCACCTGAGAATGTTGCATTTGGCACTTCTTAGCACTAACATCTAACACTTCTTAGATAAAAGATAAATGAATGTCCTGATAAAATAATCATTTAAAAAGGGTTGTATAGACCCTTAAATCCTAAATGGGAGAACAGCTCTGCTAGTTCTTATTTCTTCTTACACGAGCTCTGCATAGATGCCACTTGGGCTGGTTGTTTTTTCAGGTGTCCTGCTGGTGCAGATTTTCAGTGTGCTATGTTTGTGTAAGTCCTCTTTACTCTGAGAAGGATGTGTTCTCAGCCTGCTGTAAGATGAATGAGACAAAACACAAGGATAAAGACGGTTAAGAGTAGAACAACATGGAATGCATTGTTGGATTAAGTGAGATTTTAGAGCCAGGCATATCACAAATAGGAAGGAATAGTGCCTCAGAGGTAGGAAACAATTTGAAGCAGAATGAGAAGATTTGATTTGTTGCAGTATAAGTTGGGAAGGTGGTAGAAAGCCTCACATACGAATTTATAAGAGGGATTCTGTAAGTTTGTCTTTTAAATCCTCTCTGCAACTGCATCAGCCACTAAAACACAGTGTTGGAATACTCAAGATCTTACTGCTTTCTTCTTACAAGCTGGTCTATACGTTTTAGAGGACAATAGACTCTCTTGGCAAATGTCCTAGTACCCAGTACTCCTGTCCTGTTCCATTTACTCTCACTTAAATGACAGTATTAAAATGGATTTCCTTAGAAGCAGGAATGACAGCCCCAAATCCTGCATGGGCTCACCATGTTGAATTTGGTTTTTCTTGGAAAGGGTAGCCCCACAGTACATGTCCACAGGGCTTTCTAGGGTGCCTCAAGGTAGCTGGAAGCCCACAAACTCTTTGAAATTTATGCAACTTCCTGATGATTATCCATATTTGTAAGTTGCAGTTGCTAATGTCTTGGTTGAATACTCTCTGGTGTTGCAGCAAGACACTTGGAAAGTATATCCACATTTTTCTTGGCAGTTAGAGCGCATTCCAGCTGTTCCATTATGGCAGCAACAGTGAAAGATTCATGTAAAAGAACATAACCCTGGAAGGTGTATTTCCTTAAGAATGGGGAACAGGAGCTGGGTCATGGTGTGGTGAATGCTATGGAGTGTCTTTTCAAATCACCAGTGCTTACTGCAGGGATTATTTATCTGTAACTGACAGTAACGCTTTAGACTATAAGTCCAGTAGAACTCTAAAAAGTTAAAGTTGTGTTCCACAAATGCCAGAACATCGTTCCTTGATGTGCCTGTGTATCTACATTATAAATCATGTATATGGAAGTTGCATTGAATAATAGAGCAGTAGCAATTTGGAGAAAATATTTTAATACTGGTTCCTGCATACATCCCAGAGATCTGCAGGGGTAATGAGTTCAATTTTCCTTCAAGCCAAATTCATAGCAGTCTTGTAGCATTAAGCAAATTGGAAGAGCGTCATTCACAGCCATCTTCACTTGTGGGGCAACCTCCTCCCTTGAACTCATAATGTAGACTCATGTTTACAAACGATGGAAATTTCCTTCAGCAGACTTCACTTTATGAAACTTTCCACTTTCACCAAATCTAATTGGAAAGGAATTTGGAACTAACGTTGTCGTAATATTTTCATTATTTTTGGAATTGGTCTTCTGTTTTGACATGAGAAAGGCTACTCTCTGTTTTTCAATATTATTGTTGCGTTTTTTCTGAGTGAATATTTAATACTGCTGTTGTACATTTTTGCAACTGTGGAGCTGATTAACTTTATTTTTCCCTACAGCATTGCTGTTCTACTGGACTTTAGCATTCATAACTAAAACCATCAAATTTGTAAAGTTCTGTGATAATGGGGTTGGATTTTCTCAGCTTCGGTTTTGCCTCACAGGACTTCTGGTTGTTCTATATGGGATGCTACTAGCTGTGGAAATCAATGTCATCAGGGTGAGGGTAAGTTAGTACCATGAAAGTCTCCTTCTGTGTTTTTTGTTGTGGGTTATGTTTTTTTCCCTATTCTCCTTTCTGGGTACTTAGTGTGATATGCATTTCTAAAGGAGAGAGAAAAATCCGGTTAGAAATAGATTTAAGAATCAAAGGTTAATCCAATTTTATTAGGCCAGATGTATCCATAATTTTAAAAAATGCCAGACTCTACTGTAGTTAAATTAAGATAAATTTTATCTGTTCAAGTTCATTTAAAAAATGTCTGTTATAATTCAGAGTTTCAGTCATCAGAAATGAGTATTTCTGATGCAAGGAAAGACTGGGTGAAAGGAATTGTCTGCTCTATCAGAGAGTATCTTAGATGCACAAATAACATCTCTCATTTTCCAGGAGACAATCACAATAAGTGATTTACTGAGATTGCTTTCTAGTCTCCCAGCTATATATATATTTTATTTTTTTTCTCCTCTGTGGTGTCTGCAGTCATGATTCAAACTGAGAGTTGTGTTTGGAGACTGCTGGATAGATAAATGCCAAAATCCTTCCCTTCACCTGTCCCTCACTTAACTCTGTGCACAAATTAAACTTTTCCATGTAAATTTTCTTGCTGCTTCCTTCACATTTGTCTGTGAACTCTTTCCAGTAATTCATTCAGCAATGTGAATTGTGTCTGTCACGTATTTGTTTTTTCTTGGGGGATTTTGTATGTATTTTGTATGTATGTATATTTATTTGTTAACTTAGGACAAAAAAATGCCTAAAAGCAGCTTTTTCAGTAACATTTTTGAAAGAAAGAGTAATAAAAACCTCAGTGCTCAACATGCAGTATTTCTATCACAAATGAAAAGCAGTGGATTCACTTGTGGGAAAAGTGAAATTAAAATGTGACATTGGAGAGATTTGCTCATAAATTTTCTCATAATAGAACTGCATCATTGAATGAGATTTAGTCCCTGTGGAGTTGTATGTCACAAAGAAGAATAAAAGTGGTCATTGCCTATTGTAATCTTTTTTGTGTTGTTTTTGTTTGATTGCAATTATTAAAGGATGCCATTGATGCACAGAATGAACTAGGCATCTGTATGGATTTTTCTTATTGCCTGTGCCTGTGGCAGACTTTGGAGAGCCAGGCTTGTCGCTGCAGCTGCTGAAGGAAGGGGTTGGGATGCACGGGAAGTTGGCCATTACTAAGGAGGAGGAAGTGGGGAGAAAAAGAAAATAAGGTGTGAGGTCTCTATGCTAGCAGAAACAGCAGGCATTGGCCTCGCTTTTTGTTTTTTTCCTCCTGCCTTCCCCCATCTTCTCCCAGAAGAAAGAAGATTGACTTGTTTGACTTTAATCCCAACTATACCTTCTCCCTTCCTTCTGCTGTTCCTACTGTTTCTCTAGATGGCCTTTCCCAACCCCATCACCGTTTTTTCTAGGATGTGTGAATTATTTCTCCAACTGTGGTTGGAGAAAAGATAGCAGTGAAGTATATCCAGAAATCCTACTAAGATTATTAGGATTTAGGTACAGTTATGAGTAGAGATTGTATGAAACATGTGATTGGGTACTTTTCAGAAAAGAAGTGTCTATTTTTAAGAGGCTTGGCTTTTCATTCCCAAAAATGAGCGGTGTCTGAAAAAGTTTTATCTTGGCAAGAGGAAATCACCATCAGTTTATCCTCGCTCTTTCATCATTTATGCCAATGAAAACATTTGTTGGTACCATATGGGCTCTCTAGTTCGGTGGTTTCCCAGACTTGTTCAAGAGAGCACAGGTAGCTCCATGTTCTGAGCTATCTAAATGTGAGGTGGCACAGGATGGAAGACGAATCGCTGTGATAGCCACAGGGCTGTGCCTAAGCTAGTATGTCCCATGTCGTGCTGTCTGGAACTCAGAGGGAGAGGCTGGGGCTGTACTATTTGAAATGTAAGGTGAAGTGGGTTTTTTTTCTACAAATACGCAAATTTTTACCCCATAAACAAAGCAATAGTTAATATTTAGGATGATTTATTTCTAGACTGGATGCCTCTGATTTTCCTCAGTACCTGAGGAAACTGGGTTGCTGTATTGGTTGAGTTTGAATCCCTAAGTTCTTTTAGTACTTCTGAGAAACCAAGACCGTTTCACTGACTATCTGCACTGTCCTTGACCTCATATCTGTTCTTTGTGAACTTTTATTTTCTATGGCTTTAATATGATTCTTTCATTATTTTTCTGAATTTCAGAGGTATGTTTTCTTCAAAACTCCTAAAGAAGTTAAACCTCCTGAGGATCTCCAGGACCTTGGCGTTCGATTCTTACAACCGTTTGTGAATCTGTTGTCCAAAGGAACATACTGGTGGATGAATACGTTCATCAAGACTGCCCATAAAAAACCAATAGACTTGAAAACCATAGGAAAGCTTCCCATTGCGATGAGAGCTCTGACCAATTACATTCGCCTTAATGAGGCCTTTGAAGCACAGAAGGTATGTAAAGCATGGAATTATGTCCATCTGCTTACTCAATGCTTATGTTTTTCATTACTTTTTATGCTAAAGGAAAACATAAAATTATATAAACAGACATGATGCAATTTAAGTATCCATTAGCATAGCTTTCCATATACAAAGAGATCACATACTCAGTTGTACCTCATACAAATAATGGGATTTATCTACCTAAACATGTGTGTCAAGCACACTGCTGGTTAAATGCGTGTAAAATCCATATGGCCTCTATTTTGATGTGGAAAGTAATTACGAACTATATTCACTGCACACCATTATCGTTCTTCCTAATAAGACCCTGGAATCATTCAATTACACAGTCAATATTAATGAGGCCTTGCAGGACTGTTTTTTCCGTGGTATTTTGGTTACAGTTTCTCTGCAGGAGAATTCAGGGGTGAAGCTACCTCAGCTCAAATTCTAACACCCTGACTGAGAGTACTCAGGATTTTGAGAGAAGTCTTTTGCATTCTGTCTAAAAAGATCGTAGGTTTCCAGTCTCTATGTTTGCAGCAAAGCAAAACCTGTCAGTTCCCTCTCTCCTTTTTTTCTTTCTCTCCCAGCAAGCCACAAACCAGCACGCTTACTTGATCCTTACTAAGGGTAGGAAAGAAATCGTGGTTCTTGTTGTGAAGTGAAAGAGAGGACAAATTAATGCTTTTTTCTTACTCCATAAAACCAAATGAAACAATAAACGTAGCTCAAGAATTTCCGGGCCCAGAGATTGGTGGTGAATGGAGTTAAATCCAGTTGGCAGCCAGTCACATGTGGTGCACCTCAGGGCTTGGTTCTCTTTAACATCTTCATCGATCTCGATGAGGGATTGAGTGCACCCTCAGTAAATTTGCAGGTGACACCAAGTTGGGCGGGAGCGTCAACCTGCTGGAGGGTAGAAGGGCTTTACAGAGGGGTCTGGACAGGCTGGATCGATGGGGTGAAGTTCAACAAGGCCAAGTGCTGGGTCCTGCACTTGTGTCACAATAACCCCATGCAGTGCTACAGGCTGGGGGCAGTGTCTGGAGAGCTGCCTGGCAGAAAAGGACCTG